TCAATATCGATTACTTTCAAACCTAAAGCACAACCAAAAAATATTTGTTTTGAACACGGTGCTATGCATCGAAGCGAATCGAAATGTATTTTCTGATACTCCAGAATATCACCTTTCTTTTCTTGTAACAGAAGTTCGCTACAAACCTTTTTTCCTGCCACAAACAAAGATGTTACTAAAAGTAAAAAAAAGGGAAAGTTTGATTTCTTCGCCTTGGCACAGAAAACGAAATGGGGCTATTCGACTTTCTCTGTTCTAATGTAACAGAAAAATCATTTTGTTTCGATATTGAAAAAACCATTTGCTTTTGAATGAGGCTATTTTTACAAAAAAGATTGAGACGGCGATCAATCATGTCTGAAATATTGAGAAAATATTGAATGAGACAAGACTTCTGGACCACCTACCTTTCATATAGTGTTTTTTTAATATTTACTCTTCATCTTCGTTTTTAAGCTTTTGAACAGTCTAATTCATCATCAGAAAAATGTACAGAGAGCTATAAAGAGAGATCCTATTTATGGTTTAGTCTCAATTCATCCCAACAAATTTTTCATATAATTTTTATTCTCACTTCGTCCCAACTAAATTTGTGTATATATTTAATTCTCAGTTCGTACCAGATCTTTTAAAGTATAATTTTCAAAATGTTATCAGCTTCTTTTTCATATCAAGATCTAATTATTTGATTATGATGAAAATTAAAATCACACAGTATCTTCATATGACTGGTAGTTTGAATATACTATATATTCTATAATCCTGCACGGAGACGATTTCGCTAAAGTTTGAGCGAACAATTATATAGCAACGATACATTATAACAGCCGGATCCCATCAGATACAATCGTACAGGGATGTCCTTACTATTGCGCAAATATGGGCGATAGACTCCCGTCCTCAAGAGGTTAAACAACCAATCTCCTGTTCGTAACGAATTGATTAGGTTTTCTGAAATATTCTTGAGATCATTATTTCGTATTTGATACGACAGTGAATACCCTAAAATTTTCACTCACTACGATTATAACCACTCATGCAGCGCTATTTACTGATATATTTTCCTCTCCTCTAAATCCCGTTGACTGAAAAGTGGAAACTGTCAAGGTTTTCTGGTGACTCAGTTCTACACAGCAAACATTTTTGTACAGAATAAGATATGGCGCGACGATTCGCTTTTCTTCTTTCTACCTCAATCGATTCTACGCGAAAAGTCATAAACCGGTATTAACCGATAATCTATATCAATACCAATCGTGAGCCATTTGGCAAACGTTTGTTATCTGAGTACCGATTCGAGATGGAAAGTGTTGCCATATATTATTTTGGAGAGAAATGTTTGTTCTATAAAGGTAAGTCATCAAAAAATCTTAAAAGATCATTCTGTCGTATGAAAACTTTTTAGTAAAAAAAGCGCAGAATTGTAGCCACCAAATACCGGTGAATGCCTAGTTATAACAGCCAGCCAGTCCATTGGGTAAAATCAGTCGCTTGATACTGTTTTCTCATGTAATCTGGGAAGTGTCTCGAAAATTTAGTCGCTTCAGTACACTGAACACGCAGTTTAACAAAGCCGACACGAAATGCTACCATTTGATAAAAAATATTGAAGTGGGAACTTTCTCGTATCGACTTCTCCAATGAATAAGTTCTAAACATATTTCAAAAGTACTTTAGATTCTCCATCTATTGATGTATGGATTGTTAGAAACATGTTTCTTCTTCATTATGGAAATAATCAATCAAGGTATGCGTTGTGAGGGTGAAAAAATCCAACTTCTGGTGAATGACCGTACTATACCAACCATTTTATCACAAAATAAAAGAGATCCGTATAGTTACTCTGATGGTGTTCTTCCATTTTATGCGAAAAAAATTAAAAAGTATCGGTGCACGAGTTTTTGTTAGAAATCGTTACCCGTGTTTTCTTTTTATTATGTTATATTTCGATGTTATTTTTGTTCAGAAAACAACAATATGTGAGAAGCTTTTATGTCAAAATATTACACACATTACTGTTAAGCGTTCAATAATGTGCGGACATCCCGTCTCATTTTGTGCAGTCACATAATCCAATCCGTTCTGACCTATATCTATGTTTATCATTTTATGATAAAAAAATAACTGATGGATTAAAAAAGTATGAAGCTTTTATACTAAGATACACCGACATTTCCGCGAATGGGCTCTTAAGCGAGCACCTGCTCTCCATAGAAGAAGATTTACTTCAGATCTAGATTATCTAGTCTTTCATTTCAGTCCGCTTTGGTATGACTCTGTCTAAACTAGATAACACTGGTAGGATGAACAGATAAAGAAAGAAGGAAAAAACCGTTCAAATAAAGAAAAAGAGAAGACGCCTTCCCGATTGCGAACAATTTGAAACTGCGCATTTTCGAAGGAAAACAATATTTTATAATCTATCACAAAGGAGAACATTTTCAAACGCCACACTCTTGAAGGAGAACAAATAGTCACTGCAACAGATGCTAACACGTAGTGATTTTGTGACAGTAAAGAATATAAACAAAATACATATTCAAGCTTCCGTATCCAAAACTTCGTTATTTAAAAGACCATCTGACAAACTGTATGAAAATTTGAGTGAGAAAGGAAAAAGTAAGTTTAGTCTTGTGTTCTCACTTGTTTGACAACTACTCATAGAGCGACAAAAAATAGCACTTAAGGACATGAGGACTGTATGTCTCATCTGACTTTGTTTACCTTTTTCTCTTGCGTTCTTCACTTTACTCATTCTTTACTTTGCATGTGGTAGGCCAATAATTGATGTGATTCTTTCAAAAATTACTAATCCTATATGAAATTATTCATAGCAGCAACTATTTTTCTTCGTTATTCTTTGCAATACAATATAAGTATAATAAGTAATAGAATATTTCAAAATATCTCGCCTACTTTGTCGTGTTTGTATAACGACTTACTAGCGTTCTCATATAGGTAGATAAATGCTATTAAATATAACAAAACTGCAATACAATTATCAAAAACACATAGTGTGATACTTGCATTAGTAAGCAAACAGCGTGCAACTGTGTTTCATCATATCCAGGTCTCCTCTGATACTCCATTTATTGATATTTACTACGTGATGGCAAGCAATACCACGAGCGCCGTTCCGAGTGCGCAAGGATCTTCTCTTTCGCAGTTTTTTACTACGCTCGTAACTGCTGCAGCTATCGCTGTGCTCGAAATCACAATATTCATCATTATTAGAAAGATGTTCAAACGTATTTATGCACCAAAAACATATCTCGGCGATGAAAAGCGATGTGTCGAACCGTTACCAAACAGTCTTTTTGGTTGGTTACCGGCTCTGTTACGAATGCCACAGGAAGATCTCATTCGTACTTCTGGTTTTGACGCCTATTTTTTCGCCCGTTACATTTACGTGCATGGCCTTTTCTTTCTGAGTTCTTTCGTACTATTAGCCATCATTTTATTTCCTATTTACACTGTTGATGGAAAAGGTGAATCTTATGGCAAGAAAGGTCTCGATCTACTAACGTTTGGTAATATTTCGCCGCGTCATTCTTCACGTTATGTCGCTCCGTTAGTGCTGGCTTATATTTTCATCGGAGCATTCCTTTACCTCCTACACGCCGAGATGAAAAATTTTGTAGAAAAACGTCAAGCACTGCTAAGAAGTCCTGCCTATCAATCTCGCGCTAGTGCGACAACTATTCTCGTGACTGGGATACCGAAAGCTTATATGTCACAGGATGTTCTCTTACGAATCTTTAATCAATTTCCGGGGGAAGTACGACACATCTGGCTCAATCGAAATCTTGAAGATCTTCCTGACAAAGCGGACGAGCGCACGAAATTCGTAGAAAAACTTGAGACAATCGAATGCAAATTGATCAAAGCTGCACTGAAAGAAGAGGCCAAACGCCAGAAAAATGGTAATACGAACGTGCGTTCAACAGAGAACGCTGAAGATCTCGTCGACAGTTATATTCCGGAAAAGAAACGACCAACGATGAAGATTGGGCCTATTCCAGTGCTTTCTTCTTTGTGTTTCGGCAAAAAGGTCGACACGATTACCTACTGCAAAGAGACCATCTCTCAACTCAACACTGACATTGAAAGGGCGAAGTTGACTCCACAAAATTATGCCGTTCTAAATTCGGCATTTATTCAATTCAATCAACAAATAGCTGCTCACATGGCAGTTCAAAGTGTTGCTGCCTCTGTACCTTTAGCAATGACACCTCGTCACATCGACGTGAAACCGGAAAATATCGTTTGGTCGAATTTGAAGCTGACCTACTATGAGAGGAAACTACGACAACTCGCCATTTTTGCTGCAACGACTGCTCTCATTGTTTTTTGGGCCATCCCCGTTGCCTTCGTCGGATTGCTGTCGAACTTGACGTACCTTACAGACAAGTTGACCTTTCTCCGATTCATTTACGATTTGCCGACTACTATTCTGGGCTTAATTACCGGTCTCCTACCAACAGTTCTCTTGGCTGTTCTCATGGCATTGCTTCCTGTCGTGCTCACACTATTTGCGAAAATATCTGGCATTCCTACAACCGATGCAATCGATCGTTATGTGCAAGGATCTTACTTTGTTTTTCAAGTCATTCATGCCTTTCTGGTCGTTACGATTTCTAGTAGTGTTGCGAGTGTTGTTGTAGCTATTATCCAAAATCCACCTAGCGCAGCAACAATACTCGCGGCAAATATTCCTACCGCTAGCAACTTCTTTCTCAGTTTTCTAGCCTTGCAGGGTTTGAGCGTGGCTTCTGGGCTCTTGCTGCAAATTGTTTCACTCATATTATTTTATCTTTTGGGAAAAGTATTCGATAACACGCCGCGAAAAAGATGGAAACGTTACTTCACTCTTAGTAGTCTCAATTGGGGTGAGGTTTTTCCTATTTTCACTAACTTCGTTGTCATCACTCTAGTGTATTCTATTATTGCCCCTTTAATGCTCCTCATTTCTGGATTAGCATTCGGCTTGTTCTACGTTGCTTACCTTTACACGATGTTTTACGTCTCAGATTTTCCGAACGATACTGGTGGTCTTGCGTTTTCAAGAGCAATTTATCAGTCGTTTACGGGCATCTATCTGATGGAAATTCTACTCGCGGGACTTTTCTTCCTCTCTCAGAATGAATCTGGATCGCAGTCGGCTATTCCTGAAGGTGTTTTAATGTGTGTATTAATCGCTGTTACGATCGGCGTTCAATTCACGATGACTTCAAGCTTTGATCCTCTCACATACTATTTGCCTGTTGATGCAGAAGAGTTCTCACGAATGGAAATGTCCAGCCTTAGTCAAACTGCCGTGCCAAAAACAGTAATTAACGTTTTGAATTCTTCAAGAGCGACGGATAGTACTGATGCTGTTAGCAATATCAATGCCGCCGTCAATGAACGATACGACAATACCATGGAGAACGCGTATCTTCATCCGGTCATGCGGGATCCAAAACCAATCATCTGGATTGCACAAGACAATTTGGGTATTGCGGTAAACGAAGTACGGCGTACTCGCGCTTCTGGATTAGATATTTTGATGTCGACCGAAGGAGCACGATTCAATGAAAAGAAGAACATTGAAGTCGATGGTCCACCTCCTGATTATGTGGAAAAGATGACCAAAATGTCGTTCTAGTTCGCTTTTAGTACCTCGAATGAATCACTGATAGACATGTTTCTAAATATTTCTAATATTGTGCAGTAGTGTAGAACTTCAAAATTCTTCATATCTATACTCGTTACCAAGATTATATCCAATACCATATTTATTCCTCGAACTATGTAATATCAACGATTATCAGAAAGAAAAGTTTAACAAATCTGAGCTATGCTTTACTTGGTCTGTTGAACATTTCTGCTGAGTGGAAACTACAAACAAGAACAAAAGATTCTTATCGATTGATCAATATATGCCTATTCTAAAATCGATTTGAATCAGATTAACATGACTTGAAGGATTATTTTCAACTATCACCATAGGATAATTTCCGAGAAAAATTTACATGGCGATTTTGTTGCTAATTATGACACCTAGAACAAAACTTCCAATGGCAAAAAGATACAGCGTTTGCCCAAGTATGTCGCCTGCTATTTGAATTTATCAAAAGTCCACGTTTCGTTTTTTTACCTAAGGTCCACATGGTTGCCCACTGTGCAGTGTATAGAGTCATGGTTAGCACCTATAAATCTGTATCAATAGATCACGAACAATTATTTACAGTTAGTCCATTCCATTAAGGAGAAACCTGACATAAAACCTATCGCAAGTTTTCTGTTCACAAATTACTAACAATTTGCAAAGCGTTTGCTTTCGCAACAAGAAGGCTGCGCTATTTGTTAGTGTTCTAGTGTTAGATTCTCGTTATTTAAGAAAACCACAAATCATTCCAAAAAATGGAGCTTTATACGTTACCCTATCTGTGAGTTTATTAATAAAACTATAGTATTTAAATTGTTAGATAATTCCCTGCTATCTGATGAAACAAAAAACTATGACACCAATAATGCAGAGTTATGCCCGTAGGAGGAGGAGGAGAAGACCCTTTCAGAAAAACATATATACAAAGTCTCCATTTTTAAATCACAGATCACTTCTTAGTTTCCTGAAACTTCTATTGTATGTTGAACTTTCACTATGAATCAAATGATCGCTCGTTATTCGTTCGTTATTATTGAGAGTCCTCTATAAATAGCATCCAAATAGAATATAAATTTATCCATTCGTAATATTGAAAAGAAGATTCGCACAAACACCTCGTCTCTTCTTAAGGTATTTAGATCTGCTTTTAAGTGATGTAGTTCATGTTATAGCAAGACAGGAAAAACAAAAAAATGACTCCGCGGCGGGGAATCGAACCCCGGTTTCCCGCGTGACAGGCGGGGATACTAACCACTATACTACCGCGGACACATTTCCTCTTGCATATACCGATTGTCCCCAATCCGGTCATCGTTCAACTGTCTTCAGACGGTAAACATATTCATCTCTTTTTCGTCTATTGTTTAAAGACAGCAACTGGAGCGGCGTTTGAATCTGTTTTATGTTGGTGTAGTATACGATATTATCGTAATGGAGGAAAGTTAAGCTTTTAATTACTAATTTTATTCTACATTTAATTGACTTGTTTCTCTTGTTCAACGTGCCTGGTAGTGCCGGAAAGCTTTCGAAGAATATCGTCGTCGTCTAGAAGCAGTTCGGGGTGAATATCTATATAGTATGTTTTTTTAAAGATAATCTAACTCTTTATATTTCAGGAGCGGAAATGATTCTTGATCGCCTTGTTCGATTGTCGCCTTCTGCTATCCATTCCATACCTTGATTCTTTTTTTATTGCTTCTATTTCATTTCTTTTTTCTTGTTTTGCTTTTTTTTGTTGTTCGTTTTGAATAAAGTTTGGATTGTATTTAAGATGATTGGCAACACAGTAGACCACCCTCGTTTGTTTTCATAACTTTGTAGAGCACATCAAGCTGTATATACCCTGAAGTGCTTTCGATGAACAGACTTGTAATTGCTGAGAAAAGAAATTTTTACCAATTTCATACAATTTTGATCCTCTATTAAAAAAATTTATAAAAAATTCAAAATTGAAGCTGGAACTCTTATTGTCACGCAGTTCGACAGAGCACCTTAAGTGACACATACCCACAAGTAATAATGAAAATTGAATCAACGGTGTCTGAGAAAATTAACATTTTTCGTTATAGTGCAGTTTGAGTCCTTAAAGTAAAAATTTTTTGAAACTTATGCACGCATTTCAAAAACAACAAAGCATTTTGAAGAAATATTTTCGCTGTCAAAGTTGTTCAGGATAATACTCTTCATACCCTCAGTGGAGCACTTTTTTCATTTTAGGGGAAAAATTTTGAAATAAATTAGAAATAGAAAATTTTTAGCTTTAAATTTACTTAATTTATGTAAATTGCATTTGTTTCAAAATTTTCCCACTAAAATGAAAAAAGTGCTCCACTAAGGGTATGAAGAGTAGTATCCTGAGCAACTGTGACAGCGAAAATTTTTCTTCAAAATGTTTCATTGTTTTTGAAATGCGTGCATAAGTTTGTGTACCAGATAATGAGAAAGTCGAATTTTCATGCAAGAGCGACTTTTTCTGATTTTAAATGTCTGTTAACTTTGACAATACATGTATTGTCAAAGTTAACACACGTTTAAAATCAAAAACAAAATTAAAAAATATGTATACATGAAACAGTCTATTTGTATCAGATGCCACTCTTTGGCGTTAAATGGATTGTGCACTCTATGTTGTGTTTTGGCGAGGGAAGTATCAAAACCCCAACGGATTCTGTTGACCAATAGCATATTATTTTTTCCTGCATTTTTTTCTCTATGTGTGAGATAATGTTTTATTGCTTAGCTAGCGTTTTCTGTTTTTATTTTGCTGAGTTTGTATTATCTGTTCAATGGGGTTCTGTGTTTAAAAATAGTAAAAAATCTTGTCTTACTTCCGAAGGTTTTTAGAAAACCTTGTCAGAAACCAAGATATTATCAGTTACTTTTTAGCCCTATTGAACTCCATGATGTAATGCAGACAATATAGAGTATATAGTGATATTTTGACATAATCTGGATTGATTTTGACTGAGTTATGAATTTTCTAATTTTGCGTGAAAAATGGGATATTTCATCTAATATAGGTTCTCATTAGGTTTTTGAATTTTTGTCGAAAAACAAACATTGTCACGAGACTCAGTGTGATGGATAACCCATGTTTCCATTCATTTTCGAGATTACCACACCTAAGAAAATATCGATCTTGAGGCTTTAAGAAAATCCGATGCAAGACCTAAACCACGAAAGTTTAAGAGATCGCTTAGTTCTCATTTTGTAGAGAACATTTTAGGCTATCATATCTATATGAGAAGCACAGGGATCACTCTAGTAGATCCTGGAATCACGACCTACTCTTTCAAAGACTAATAAGGTATACCACCTGCAGGTGGTATTTTCTGAGATATTTTTATGTCAACTTGCAGCTATTTATCTCCTCTGTGAAATGCTGAAAATCGCAAGTCTTTGAAGTGCATTGTTCAAAAGCTATTCAGGCATTCATTTTTAATAGTATATAAGCTTTTAATTCATATAAAAGCCCATGTATGAAAAAATCTTGAAAGAAACTCACATTCATGACAAATTAAAAAAAATAATACAGGATTTTGTAGCGCTTGAGTAGTTGATTCAAATGATATATTAGTCGTTATATTTGAGCAAAAGGGATTGAAAAAAATAATGCAAACGACCAGACTACATTGAACTGGCATCAGTTTTAGAGAAAAATTTTATAAAAAGTCTGTTAGATAGGAATTTTTTCTTCCTTTTTTACACACATAATAACTATGAATAATTTTGCACCTAAACATACTTGAACCAAATTTTTTTTCATTATTTCTAAATGACTTATGAAATATCGAAAATCAGCCGCTAGAGCGAAAATTTTGACCAAAGTCCAACGTTAAAAAATTTATAACTTCACCAGTATCCATAGGACCGCCGAAATTTCTTGAAGATACATAGTACTCAATGCGCTCTACAAACTGGCATAATTTGAGGATAGGTTTGGGGTTGGTTCCCCCCGCCCCCTTAATATACACGACAGAATAATATGCTTCATATAACATGCTTCATATTTTCGGTCAACTGTTTTTTACTACTTTTTGCTTCTATTCTTTTCTTTTCTTTCCTCATATGGTTTATGAATATACAGTAGAAAAATCATCAGGCTTTATTCAGAGATGTTGAAGTTCTATTTGTAACCTTTTTATTTTCTGAATTTGAAAACACCTGCTTACGTTTTATATTCCTAAAACTCGAGAAAGTCCCCTAAAAGAGTTTAGACTAGTTGAATTAAGTTCTAAGTTTAGACTCGTAAGAGTTCTTAGTCTTCAACTAAACCAACAAACTTTCAGGTGAGACAAACTTACAGTAAAGAGTTTTAAAGATCTTTATACAAAAGCGGACAAGGTTTTCAAGATTCTTAATGGTGTCAAAATGTTAGCGTCAACAATAGAATGTGCTTTAAGATCAACTTCCATCTTGGTTTCACATTTAGACTAGAGGTTTAGGACGATAAGCTTTGCTATGGACATGTTGCATAACAGAAGCGAGAAGAGCTATTGGCCATTATACTATTCATACCTCTTGTTTGCTCTATCTCCGATAATAATGAGGCTTCTCTCTCTTTCGGTCGGCAGAGAAATAGTTCACAACTGTTATTCTCTTGCCTTTTTCAAATAAATAGCGTATATCAATATTTTTTCATCAAAAGGTCTAACAAGAATAGGGATGACACGTTCCTTTTACTGTAACGAGCAACGAAAATCCGTTAATTACTTTTGTGTAATTTCTGGAAAAGGAACGGATAAATTATTTTTTTTGGTTAAAATGATTATCAAAGATGCTCTATTTTCCATCGTTACAGGTTTTTCTCTGAATAGAATTGCGAGAAGCAGTGAGGTCTGTGTCAATTACAATCGAAATAGGAAATAGCGTATCATCTGAGAGTCTCATTGTATTTACAACACTCAAATAACCATTTTTATTCATAAAGGTTTTTAATGATGTGATTACAGCTCTAAATCACAGCTCTATATATCTATCTATAAGAGACAGTACAG